TTTAATGAATGGGTTTCCAGACCCATATGTCTGACTTGTTTTGATTGATTATGTTCAAATTTTTAATATTCATTATACATCATGTCACAGATATACGAATATATTGGTTTGACGATCCTTTTCAAAGTGGCCTAATGGTGGCTATTTTTGTGCTAAAAAACTTGTTTAATTTTTTAGATCGGATTCTGAATGGCTGACTAGTGGCCATTTTGTTTTAATGAATGGGCTTCTAGAGCCATATCTCTGACATGCTTTGACTGACTATGTTCAAATTTCATATATTCATTATACATATATTCATAATGGCTGATTTTGTTTTAATTAATGCTGTTCCAGAGCAATATCTCTCAATACGATTAGATACAAATGTCAATCATTTAAATGTTAAACAATCGTCATATTCCTGACATGTTTATATTCCAGCTATATTACTATAAACAAAACTTTATATCTTAAATTTGATAACTAACGGGGACTGTGCCATGCATGGCTTGTTTAAATTAACGTAAATGGAACTCAACTTGTTGCTATTTTATCTTTACTTACAGTGAATGAGAAACCAATGTTAACGTATATACGTAATTGTACAGCGGCACCGTATTTCTCAAATTTGATTTGGTTTATTGGAAATCATGTATTGGAACTGGACTGCTGTGTAAGGAATGATACAGAGTAAGTTCTCTCTGATGCTGAATGTGTTATATGTGTGATAAAATAACTTCCTTGATGAGTTATTGACTAAGTGAAAAGGCAGTTTTGATATGTCAGGATACGTCCTTCTGAAAAAAAAAATAAGGAGCCAATTTGGATATTTTTCTTTTTTTTTTCAAAACAATGCAAATTAATTATTATTTGTTAGGTGTCTGCTTGTGCAGTAATAGTACTATAAACTTTATTGCCATATTACAGGGATCTCGTCACGCTGGTCGGCGGTGGTCAGCCCTGAACGGCACTTGAAATTAGCGACCACCACGGAAATGCTTCCAACCAGGACTATTGACCGATTGTTATTATAATTATGTACCGACCGACATGCATCCTGCCGGTCATGGATTATAATTTGTAAACAATAGACCTAGTCGCACGATACATAGCGGCTCTTTGTTTGTAAATACTTTCTGTGATAGACACAGTCTTTAGATTGAAAGCTAAAATTCTTTCAAAATCAATTCCACCTTGATATAACATGGTCAAAGCAGAGTTTACGATCAGTTTACACTACTCAAAAAAAAAATCAACGTGTTTATTGCGTGATTTGGTAAAATACATTTGAACTGTTATCATCACGAATCATGTAAAAACCCTTGTTTCAAGACCTATTTTACCTTTTAAAAATTGTTAATCCCCTTTTTCGAAAACCATCATGCAGTTTTCAACTGAAATCAATGTCAACACATCGTGCTACGACATCGCTTTACTTCCGCAATGTAATTTTTATGATCACAAGCATTCGGAAAACTTCAGATTCTACCGACATTACCATGTGGTATTCTGATTGGTTAAATAGAATTATTGACCCATTGGGTCAAAGAACACATGCCGGTAAACTAATATGTCACAAACATCATGGCGGGCTGTGTTTTTTACCGAAGCGATCGAGTGATCAAAAATATTCACTCCCGATAAAACTAAGTCAAATTTTACTTTTATTTCAAATAAAAAAAAAGAAGAAAAATTTTTTGCTTGGCGTCATGACTGAGTAAGAAGAATTATTGGTATAATCAATGTATAGCATTGTGAAGTAAGTTATGTCACGTTCTAACTTTGAAAGTTCAGAAGTTTTATTTATTCGTTCATTACTGTGAATATATACGTTTTAGAAGTTGATGGTACGAATAATAAATTACAACAATACTCCAAATAATTATGTGGTCGATTTTTTGAAGGAGAATGTATTTGGAGTAAATAAGATCATGAACATATTCCTGGCTGAAACGTTTCAAATGCGTTTTATTTAACTTTTTACAATAGACATTAATATTGCAACAATAATTTATTTGTTTCCGTAAAACTCTTTTAAATTGTGAAACATAATGTCTTAATTTCAAAAATATTTGCACTGTGACTGAACTCATTAATATTCATTGCTAATTAATATTCATATAGCTCATTAATATTCATGACCGACCGGCACTTACGTTGGGCTGGCGAGATCCCTGATATTAGGCCACCGGCCCATCACAATATACTCCTAGAAATCGTTGATAAAGTTACATCTATAATTTTCAAGCCTTTTTATCAATGCCATTGGGTTGTCTTCGTGTAAAAATCTTGTTATAACATTTGTAGGGGCATCAAAAGATACAAAACAATTGGAAACAAGCAAGTTAATACATGTATAAGGAATCAGCGAGTTTTCATTTGGGAAAATCGGCAGTTGGAAACCAACATTGCTCATTTCCAAAGTGTCGGACATATTGATATGCAAATTACTAATCTGTGAAATAAACAGAGGTGGTGACTAACCACTAAGTGTTTCTAAACACTCATGGTGTGTCAGGTAGCAACTGATAACTAATCGCAGCATGCTTTACAAAAGGCCGTCAAAAACTGATAACCCTGTGACAAGCACGGGAATTTTAGAGCTAAAAAAGCCATTCGTTTCTTTGCCAATCAAAATTCATAATTCACACAACGGTGAGATGATTAAAAATATCTCACATGTTGCTCTTGAAAGACACACTTTGGTTCATCCTCAGACTACTTTATATACTATAGATACTGTAGTAGTCTGAGGTTCATCCAATCAGGGTTACTAAAAAAGATTTTAGTAACTGTGATCAAATAGACCTTAGAATGATTTTTAGGTTGTTTGAAAACTTCAGAATAACGACTTTTGAAAAGTTATTTACCATACTAAAACATGCCAACATTCTTGAAAATTGTAGGATTCAACTAAAAAATATGATAATTTGAATGACAGATGTTTTATTTTTTCAAAAACTATTGAAAAATATGACATTCAAATGTAAGCCTGGTCAACCATTTCCGGTCTTTCGAAAAAATGTTTTTTGAAAAGGTATTTTGCCAAAATAAAACACGCAATGATCTTGAAAATACTATGATATACAAGTAAAAATTATGATAATTTTAACAACAGATGTTTTAACGAACAAAAAAAAATATGCTGACCCATAACAAGTCAAATCGCACATTTCCAGTCCTGGGTGATTTTCAGAAATAGTTCAAAAATTTTGATATAACAACTTTAAACACTGATTTGCCAACATTTTTGAAAATGATTGGAGTAAAAATTACAATAATCTGCGCAACGGATGTTTAATTTAAACTGATGAAAAGATGAAAAATTCCAGTCATTTACCCAATAGCTAGTAGCCAGTATGCAAATATCAACATTACCAGTGGTGTTGAATAAACATTGCATTGTCTTGATTTAATCTTTGAAATTTATAGGCATACAGATTAAACTTGTGTTGTTTATATTTGCAGATACTTGTGAGGTTGCCATGACTCCCCTTAATAAAGATGAATTTTAACCAATTTGCATGACATTAAATGTTATTTCGACTTCAGCATATGAAAGTTTATAGAACAAATAAAAAAATTTGAAAAACTTAATTTTCAACGCAAATAATACTCTCGCTACCTTAATACTTGAATTCATTAAATTTCTCTGGTATTTAATTTCACTATTTTGAGCAATATTTGTTAAGTTTTTTTTTTTTTCCCCATGTATTTTCTCATGATCAGCTGGATTTATGAAAATAGTGAAAGTAAATTCCAAGTGATAGTGAATTTAAAACACAGTGATTAATGCATGTACAGGAAGAATAATTATGCTATAGAATGCCGTTGTTGTTGTTAGAGAATTTACTCTGATTACTGTTTGACCCAGAAAAAAATCATTTTATATGTTTCTTGTCATCATTAATCATCATCATCACTAGTTGCATGTAGAAACTTCTTTTTAATACTTCTTTTTTTCATTAATTTAGAAAAATGGAAAATTAAAATAAAAGCACAATAAAAGTTGACGAGGAATGTTGTATTTTTTTCTGAACTTAAGTGGCTTTTATACACGCTGCTACCTCTGCACCTCCATCCCATATCCCCCATCTATCTTTAATAACATTGTTTTCTATTTTTTCCTGTCATTACAGTCATCAAAGTAGAAACCGATTAGCAGATTTGGTAGCGGAACATTTAGATCATCTTCATTATCTTAACGACATATTACAATTAAACATTGAATGTTTAAACGAAGTCCTGACAGACCAGTTATTAAACAGATTATTATTACCGTTATACGTGTATTCTTTAACAAAAGACAACAGATACGACATGAAGGTGAGTATCCAGCGATATTACTTGTCGTATCGCTTGTGTGAGCTCATGAATATTTAAAACTCCGCAGCTGCAACATTTTTTGTCACATTTGTTTTAGCAGTCGACTGTTTTTGGCAATCAGCAGAATTTATCATAGCAATCATTAAAAAAAAAAAAGAGGAGTTAAGTGGCGGCCGTCATGATTACGAAACCCTAAAAATAGAACTGACATAACCAAAATGATTCAGTGAGTCAAACAAATCAAATGCTGCCATCGTGCTGCCATGTGTTCCTATGCAAACTGTGCAGTCGTGTGGAAGTTTAAAAAGTTTTTCCATCAACGTACATATATATATCTACAAGATGTTTCTTGGGCTATCCAATATGTAAGCACTAGCATGTTATGCACAATTGTTGATGTTCAATGTTGCCACTCTGTTATTACAACTTGTATATCGCTTTATGTGTTGGTCCTGATCCTGAAAACTTAATTATAAAGAGCAATTTGTACATCAAGCTGAAATTTACTTAATAAGAATTAACTGGATACATGTCTATTAACTTACAGAATTAGGTGTTATGTATTTTGCACACTCTTCTTGAGACTAGTATAATATACCAGGTACTAGTGTACATGTACCTCCCCAGGTTAGGTCAAGATAGAAAATTCCCTGTTTCTCGTTTCATGTAAATTTTAAAATGAGGTGGCGAGGCGATTTTTTTTTTTTTTTGAGTACTGAGCTAAAATGGGGGAAATTTGAGACAAGTGTAAGTACAAGCGCATTTTGGAATGCTTTAGAAGGAAAAAACATCCGAGAAACAGAGATATTTTTTTTCTTAGGCTTAACTAAAATTTTGTGTCATTATGGCTATGACCGCAAGCAATAAGGGGTACTAAATATTTATACAACTGGAGAGAACTTCTGATGACATCAGGTTAAAATTCTTGTTCCAAGTAGGATTTGTGTCTAATGAATAAACCTACAGCAAAATATTTAGCTGGAATTTATTTTCAATGCTTTTTGACGAGTTGAAAGTGAAATATAGGAAAAAAAGTATATTCGCTGGATTTTATTTTTACTGAATCATTTCTTCAGCGAAAATAGCGAAAATTAATTCCAAACGAAAAAAAATGTACAGTACTTAGCAAGAATTAATAAATGATAATGATGAAAGTAACATAGAATTATGCTGACTATGTGACATTCAATGCATCATTACTGAACTCTGACTGGTTGTATCTTTTCAGGAGGACAAACCACATATACATTCAATAGTTTCATTATTCCTTCTATCTCAGGTATGTAATTATACACTTAAACATGATACTTATATAAAAATAAAAGAATTTAACTTTAACTACTAAATACTGAGGATTGGATTACTCGCAACTTGCCGTGTTGTTTCAGATCTCAAAAAGCAACATTGTATGAATTACTGTATAACAATTAGCGGAGTTATCAAGAATAAAATTACTGTACTGATACTGTGTTGCTTGTCAGGACGCAGTTGCTGATTTTTGTTTAGTGGTATAATGCTAGTAAATGTGCATAAATTAGGCAAATGTGCACACCACAAAAATGTTTTGATCTAACCAGTTATAATCATGTAATGTACTCAAGATGCCCATTGCAAACCAGTTGGCAACAATGTTGCTGTTTTGGTTTTAAAAAAATTATGGCGAAGACATTAAAAAAATTTGTTACTGATCTACATAAAATAATTGATTATATATTGTGTTATTTACAGGTATTCCTTATACTGTCTCACAACCCGCTGATCACACGGTTAGCTGACATAATATTCAACGGTGAAATAGATACATTGTCAGGGCAGTCAACTGATATAGGTGAAGGAGAGGTAAGATTACAAATCGCAGAAACTGGCTAGGCTGTAGTATTCAATGATTTTATAATTTTCTAAGATATATGACAGTAACTGTACATTTACATGGCAAGGAGTTGCTGATTTCTACAATGAGACTTGGGAAAATAACTACATAAACAGCAATGCAGCTCAGTGTAGCATAATCTATTGGAATCTCATTTATTGATTTCTTCCGATTTTTAGATGAGCAGAAGGGGATTTGTCGCTCCATTGGAAACGTTAGTAAAATCACTGGAATCCTCAAAGGTCTCATCACTAAAATTTTCAAAACGACGTCCAAGATACAATGATTCTTCTCCAGATGAAGCAGAGGAAGAAGAAAATGCAGACAACAACCAAGAAGAAAAGGAAGAGGAAGAAGAAGAAGATGATGATGATGATGTTATTGGTGATAAAGTAGAGTCTAAGTTTGATGAACATCATATTGATGTTGAAATGAATGATCAACAAGTACTTCAAGGTAGATAGTAATATTTTACACAGCTTGAACAACAGTCCACATGCAACCACAACACAGTCCACATGCAAGAACACAGTCCCCATGTAACCAGAACACAGTCCCCATGTAACCAGAACACAGTCCCCATGCAACTAAAACACAGTCCCCATGTAACCAGAACACAGTCCCCATGTAACCTAAAGAGTCCCCATGTAGCCACACAGTCCACATGCAACCAGAACACAGTCCACATGCAACTAGAACACAGTCCACATGCAACCAGAACAGTTCACATGCAACCAGAACACAGTTCACATGCAACCAGAACACAGTCCACATGCAACCAGAACACAGTCCCCATGTAACCAGAACACAGTCCCCATGTAACCTAAAGAGTCCCCATGTAGCCACACAGTCCACATGCAACCAGAACACAGTCCACATGCAACTAGAACACAGTCCACATGCAACTAGATCAGTCTGCATGTAAATAGAATGCATTCCACATTCAACTAGAACACAGTCCACGTGCAACAAGAACACAATCCACATGCAACTAGAACAGTCTAGGTAAGCAA